TCCGTTCACACCAATGGCGATATCATCCACATATAGAGTCAAAAAACGTCTGTTCTTGAAAACCTCGAGGAGCCGATCAAAGCTGCCTAAAGCTTATAAAAGCAAACATAATTAATTACAGAAAAACGGGAAAAATAATGCTACATAATGCGAAAGATCTACAATTTTGAAAAAAAAATTGAGGAATTTTAATTTTGGCTTTATCAGAAAAAGATTGCGTTTTTCCCAACTGCAATATGCCAAAAATTAACAAGTTGCTATCGAACGCGCGGTCGAATTCATATTTCCTGGCTCAGATAGTTAAAATGTTCCTTCTTCCTCGCATGAATTGATGTTGCAATTGCGAAAAAAACTATAAACTAAACATTTTTGCTGACGTCCGTTTATATTTATTGAAAACTATCTGCAATCGTGATGATTCGAACCATACGTTTTCCAGGCGGCGTTATTGACTATCATTCCTATTTTCGGTTTAAAGCTTAAGTTTACATTAAGTATTAGGAATATCCAGAAGCGAGCACTTGGGCCTCCTCTAAATCGGGAACGTCCAGCCTGCCTGGATTTCTTGTACGATTGGCGCGGCAATTTCTACCTACAATTAACTGAATGCATCAGTTGTGGCAAAATTCTGGCTAATCCTAATCAAACAATGTTTGGTTGGCTCAATGTTTAGTGGGACGGATGATAAACTGATCGGCAAATACACGTCGATTGTTTCGGGTTTATGCCAAATAATACTAATTTTGATAGTCGGATTTCCAGTATAAAGGAAGACGTGCGGGTTTAGAGGTATAGCTGAATATAGTGGATCTAATAACTTGTGGAAATTTCAAAGGAAATTGTGCAAATAAGGATTAAAGTGCCAAGCTAGAAGATCTCAATATTGACTAGCGGATAAGGCCGCTTAGAACGGTAAGTATCGCGGCGTTTATTTGGGTATGAATTTTCTATCTTTCATATGTAAATTGAGATTAATTTGCCCAAAATAACCTAGATATCCATATTGAAATTCAGCCGTTAATATGAATCGGCTGTAAAAAAATCCATAACATGGACCGCTTCAAAGGTTAATGAGTGAAATATCCACTGATGACTTTAGAAATAGCCGATATCGTTTGAACTGAATTCCAAAAATTCATCAAATTAAATGCGTTAATGCACGATAAATAATTTGCGGATTTCGCACAAAAGTCAAAGATTAAGTTGTTTGTCGCCACATAGCGTTGTTGCTGTGAGAAAAATTACTGAAAATGTGTGGCATTTTTCAGGAAAACACAAATTTTTTAATGTAAAAACCGAATTTCATTATAACTTTGTCCAGTGCACTAAAATGCAACTCTAAATGAAATCAGTTTGATTTGTGTTGAGGCACATTAACACAATTTAACAAATATTTAAATTAATATAAAAATGGCAAAAAAAAACCAAAGGGATGCAGCCAAATGACGAACTTTTGAAAGTATTTGAGGTCAATGCATAGATTTTCCCCCAATAATTATCGATTTCGATTGGCAACATAAAGAGCCTTCTGTCCAAAGCGAAGTCTAAAACTTTCCTAATATTTTTCAAATTAATTATATTTTGCTCTCAATCTGAATGTTCTTCTTATAAAACGATTCTTGGCTTATTCATGAATCAGCTTATAAACCAGAAATCTTTATCCATTGACAACGGTGCAAGATAAAACAGTACAAGTGTAATATGAAATGTTGTAGATAAAGAAATAGAGTTATTTTTGTTTCATCTCTATATAATCCTGGCTTACGTGACGCGAACATGTTTCCCTGTGTAAGCGTTACAGAAAAATGCACTTTAAGCTTGATGACTCCCTAAAAACTTACGGAACTGATAAATTTTACTTTTCAATTATCTTTCCACTAATACTGATTGAAAACGGAGGTTTTTTGAATGAGAGCCTGCGAAAATACACTGAATTACATAATTTTTGATTTATAGATTTGTTTAATTCACAGAAACTTATAAAATCACGGATCTTAAGAAATCGTAAACTGCCTTTACGTACTTGGAGAGTCAAATGTTGGAAGGCGTAAAACTTTAACAGCTTTGATACTAAATAATTAATTCTGCAATAAACCGTACAGTTTATTAAATATCACATTTTTTGCTTAAAGTTGCCATTTGGAAAAGCTGTTAAAATTTTTTATAGGCATTAGTTTTAAAGTTCTTTACGTAAAGTCACATGCACAAACTAGGCTTCGTTTGTTTTGATTAGCCAGTTTTTTATCACAACAGTGGCATCAGCATGTGTTGCTACAGAAGTTGTTCTTATTCTTGGTGATATTGTCGCAGACCGTCAGGAACATTGGAATATAATGGAATTAAATTACTGTGTTCGCAGCAATTGACAAAGTTGAGAAAAATATGTTTTTTTTTGCTTTCATCACGAAAGGCATGATATGAACCTATGAACATTTGGTTTCTGTTGATGGTTAGTATTTAACGGTGTTTTATTCCGTTGGAGGATGGTGCGGAAGCAGTTTTTTCCCTGTTATCACATTGAGCCTTTTGGTGTTAAATTTCTCGAAGACTTTGAAGATCATCGTTATCAACCAGTCGGCGTATAGGAAGAAGACTCTTTAGACTTGATCAGTGGGCCACAATAATTATTAAGGCTCAATATTCCATCTGTACATTTTCCAGATAGCTCATGAATAATTTTTCCAAACATCAGCTCTTTTACTAGCTTTTTTATATAAATGTCACTCTTTGGAGCTTGCTTTATATTTGTAATTTCAAAAGTGATAGATCGTCGAATTTTCAGACAAATCTGTATCATCTGGAACTGTATGTATCTCTGAAGGCCAGTGTGTAAGTTTACCAATAGATTAACATTGCAAATTATTGATTTTCACGCTGAAAGCTTAAAGAAGTTCGCTGTTCTGTCTATATAGTAGACAATTTTGTACCTCATGCTGGAAGTTTTGCGATTAAATTGGTCGTGGCTGGATCATAAAATATATATGTGTGTTATTTGGGCGACGAAAACGCATACATTTCCTTGATACCTGGCTTTATGTTCCATATAATACAAAATTTTTCATTTAACTGAAGTTTGAAGAAAAAGTGCCTGATCCAAAACGAATGGTTCGAAATAAATCAGCAGACACCTTTTTCAGATTGTGTTAAGCCAATTAATATCCCAGGTAAAGGCAAATATCCAGCTGAGAGAAAACAAACTACTGTTTCCCTAAATAGAACCTTGCGAAACGTATACATATGAATGTAAATGCTACTCTTCAAATAAACATTGTAGATTCGCCAATTCATTCAAATCAACATAAAATCGAATTAGGGGCGTCGTTGCTTTTTGATGAGCCATAAATTGTCCCAGATTTGCAATTGTCTGCGAAAAAATGCAATTTTTGGGTTTTAATGATACACACGTTTGAGTCTCGTTGTCTGCCAAATTTACTTAAACTCAATCCACTTAAGCACCAAAAACGCACAAAACATGCTAAATATAAATTGAGTTGATTCCATCCAGTTTTATTCATATCGCATTAATGATGGCTTTTTTTTCAATTTATATCGGAATTAATTTTCCAGCTTATGTGATTATGTGTGGGTTTGTTTTCCGACTACTTTAATATGATTGAGCGTAACAAATCAATCGTCTATTGACAACAGTTCGAAAATCGATCTGTGTGTCAGATGGGTTTATTGTGGTTGCCAATATTTACTCTAAATACTGCCACTGTTTACCAGGTTGTCCTGAACTGTATACAAATAAAAGAAAAAATACGAGGTGACTCACAATGTATTGACAGCAGCTTGATAGGGCAACGATAAAGTTAACAATTTACAACGTGAAAATAATTATTTTGTTTATAAGCTGGTGGAAAACGGCGTGCTAATCGTCTGTTTCAAACGATTTTATTTCGCATTTATTTTGCTTGTCTTCTTAAACTTCGAACATATATTTATATCGTTGCTATTATTGATGTCTTACATTTTTCAGCTGTTAATTTATGCCTTTTGCCACTTGAACAAACATCACAAACGTAAACTTGAAATTCGAAAGGCTTCAGCAGATTTAAGTCTTAAAATATCACTTTTCCTTGCAAAACTTTGCATTGCTTTTATTACTCTCTACTGTTGCCTTTTGCTCTAATTTTATATATGCCTGGAATCGTGAAGGAAAATAGACGAATTACCTCTAATCATGGCCTGATGAATCACATGACTTACCAAAGATCGTACAATTGACTTTCTCATTTTATGGATTTATCAACTGATGGTGATGATTGATGATTTTCAAAGTTAGAAGCAATTATCGATTAGCGAAAGCGGGGCTCTTGCTTTATACGGTATTTCTGGAAAACATCTTTGAGGTCCCATTAAGAACAGGAAATGGATAATTCACGTTAATTCTTTGATTGATTTGAATCTTTCATTCCATATCCCGCTTGACAATATTAGTGTTTTGGCTGGGATCAAACCTGTGTGAAAATGTAGACTTTACCAAGCCACAGAGGGTGCAAGAGCACTGAAACCAACTCCATGAAGCTATTTTTATGGAAAATCTGGATCCCATCAGCAATTGCATAATCAAATCATCAAGTATTATACAACTAAACATTCTGGTTCGACTAGATAAATTTGCGGCGCCAATAATTTATAAAATGATATGATCTGGACGGGAGCAAGTACAGATAAAATTATCCTGAATTAAATAAACCAGTTCTATAATTGTGAGCGGAAACTCTAAACCGGCACGTTGTCAACAAACAAAGTCATCAATGGAACACTTCAAATCACGCCGTCGGAGCAACCAAACGCAATTAATCAAGTTCTTGGGTTTCGCCTATTAATTGAACGATGATTAACCAATAGAATAATCTTCTGGAACAATGATAGGAACATCTTTAAGTTTGATATACCAATCAGGGTACTCGAGCTTGAGTGGACAATGATTCCGAGAAACATGAGAGGCTTTAGACTTGTGATGATGATGTCATTAATGTTTTCTCTTAGCGAACTTTGGTTCACTGATCAAACCGTTAGAACTAAACAACTGTGCCATTTCATCAAAGTGTAATTACCCTCAAAAATACAATTTCTGCGATTGCTTATCACCTAGACACCTAAATTACAACCGACTGAACTATTATTGTTTTCATTTGTAAGGATTTTGATAATGATAAGAGTCGAAACGTTCGAACATTTAATTCATTTTGAACCCGGGTAATCTAATCTTTCAATTTTTGCCCGTATTACCTGTTTGTGCGATCGATTGATTCAAATTACTTTGTGCTTTGTGCCGCCTTCATTAATGCGTTAATAAACAGCTTAAGAGGCTCTGACCGACAGCCCAACCTAATCGACTCACTCATTAGGGCCAACAGGCTACTTTATCTAATTAAAATTTTCCTTGCAGAAAATAATGAGCGGTTCTAACGAGAGCTTTGCGGATTTTCTCGATCCCAGTTTTTGTGGACGGAATATCTCAACACCTGGTAAGTAAAAAACCAAATGCTAAAAGTCCCAAAAAGGGCATTTTAACAATTGAAACTTTTGAGAAATCAATTCTCACTTCTCATTATTGCAGCTTCAGTTGCTCAAATGCTCGTTGTTGCATCAACAAACGCCTAAACTTGCAGTTGATCATTTTCAGGTTCGTGTCCAGAAATTTTCGACAAAATTCTTTGTTGGCCTGAAACTCCACCTGGAATCACTGCGAATCAATCCTGTCCAAACTATGATAAGGATTTACAGGCTACGCATTTGGCCTATAAAGACTGTTTGCCAAATGGAACTTGGTATGTGAATGAAGAGAATATTACCTGGACGAATTATCAGTTTTGTACCGTTTCGTCTGACGCTGATTTAGAGGTAAGCCATAAACTGTTTAGTTTTTTATATCTGCAATTGTTTCATATTTTTGTAGTTCTACAAATTTATCAATTTCCTATACAGTGTGGGATACACGATATCCTCAATTGCCCTACTAGTGTCTCTAGTTATTTTTTTCTCATTTAGGTAAGTTTCACTTCGAAAAATTCAATGTGCCTTAAATTTAGCTGATTTTGCAGCAAAATTAAATAAATCCGGTATAAACAAAATAAACTTAAGCCTTCATTAGAGTGCCTGACTCCAAATAGACAGGACCATAAAAATTATTAACCAAATTTAAATTATTTTGAATAAACTACTGTTCACTAATGCGCGCTTTAAGCTGCTGATTTAAACCTTTATTATACTTAAGCAGGTTTTTATAACTAAACATTTCAGATCGTTGCGGTGTACGCGAATACGAATCCACGTCCAACTATTTATATCATTTCTATTTTATAATATATTGGCCATTATATGGTATGCAGAAGTGGTTATTAAAGTTGATGTGACGAATGGAAATCCGGTAGGTATATTTTATTATTATTATATATTATTTTTAAAACAAACGTGAAACAGATCGGAGCTGTTTAAAACAGACAAACACAAGTTTTTCATGGTTAACAAAAACATGTATTAGGGCTACACAATTGATTATGGAGAGAATTTTTGGCGTTCAGTAAGTCGAACAAAATTAATTTGGTATTTGTTTAGTTTATATGAAGCGCTCTTCGCCCGAAGCGTAAATATCAATTCATACATTGTGTTGTTTCATTTTTGCGTTAATAGTTGTACCGTAAAAGCTGCCGCAATTTTCATGAATAGAGCTGGTTTTCGAGATATTTTTTCAATAATAACTGGTTTTTATTTGAGATGAATAACAATTTTTGCATTATCATCCCTACAATGTTTACATAACATACACTACATAAATGTTAGCTTTAATAAGCTCGTTAATGTCTAGATGATTCTAAATGCTTACGAAGTACGTTAACAATCTGTGCGTAAAACGTCTAAATAATTCTGTGCCAAACCGATTTCCGTTTTTATTCCAAAAGCATTAAACAAAAGCGAAAGCTCATATTGCAAGTTTAATTGATTAATCGTTTCGTTAATGTTGTGCCCAGTTTAGAGCCGAAAAAACATTAATTTTAATTGGTGAAATCAATCAAAACAAGCAAAATCATGCCGTAACAAAAATACCTGCGATATGCAAATAAATCTTCAGTTTCCCCCAGTAATTGAACCGAGGCTTCAAAAAATATTTGTTCTCAAATAGATCTTTGAGAATTTATCGCTGGCGGTATTAGTTAAAATGGGCTTAGAAATTTGTATTTTATGCCTACCTGGAATGTGTTCGAGATGGATGAATTACATCTGCAAGAAAATCGTTAAAAGGCACTTAGCTAAACGGTTGGACGATTTAAGCAGTTTTTTCAGCTAAAGATCCTTAAAATGTACAAAAACCTCAAGAATATACATGCTGGTACTCCCATGATGAATCGAATCTCCACATTTCTTCCATACTAGGAAATAAATCAAACTGGTCAGGGCGATTTTCTGGGCCTTGATTAAAAATAAATAAAAGACATTTCTCATTTCCAACTTGGCGCTCTGAAAAATTACGGAACTTCACAAAAACTGGTGGGAAGATTTACCGTAAAAAAAAACGTTCCAGACTGATGAACGCTAATATTCCCTCAAAACTCCTGCAATATTAAATTATTCATAACTTAACTAAGCCGGAGTTTTTTCTCAGTTTGCTTGAGTACGTGTTGGGCCTTTTTTTCATTTGCAAAGTTTCAAATCGGTTTAGGGCTTGGCGAATTGTTACATGGAAATTTTGAGATGCAAAGCAAGGTTTTACATAATGGAGGTTTATCAAAAATGGTCTAATTTGGGGGAATAAATATGTTATTAAAAATTTCCTTAAGTTTTAGTTTAAACTGTTTAAGCTTCAACTAGAAACGAAGTGAAAATACAAAATTTTGTAAGGTTTCTTTCATCATTTACCTGAAATATTTCACCAAACAATAAAATATTTACAACACTCTGTAAGTTCAAGGTTTTATCTGCCTTGTTTATAAGTTTGGTTTGGTGTCAATTGACTGAAGACTATTCAAAAGGTAACGAAAGGAGCAACGCAAGGAAAAATAAAAAGTCGGTAACTATTCAGACAGCTGAAAATATTGAAAATATGAAAGTCGACTAAGAATTGAAACAGCTATTGAAAAATGAAGAAAGAATTCAGAATGTCATTGTTAGTTATTTGGAACTTATTTTAATGCTCCTAATTCATATTTATGGCTACGACAGATTAATTGCACGAATAAATAAATACACAACTTAACACGAGTTGACATGAGAAAATCAACAAGAATATGGGAAGACTCAAACATTTTTAAAACTCACATTGAAGCAAATGGAAAATTGTATAACAAATGTTTTAAATTTCATAAATCTGGAAATCAAGAACAACAATTAAAAACGATCAATTTGCTTCATTGACTTATCGGATAAACAAAACGTGAAATAATCTTTCCACACTTTTAACGCTCTTAACCCAAATGTTTATTTGCCGCAGGTTTGGTGTTTGTTTCTTTACATAGCTAGAGAGTACTTTATGGTGGCAAACTACATATGGATGTTTTGCGAAGCTCTTCACCTTCACATCGCTTTGGTTGTTGTCTTTGTGGCCGAAGAAAAAATCATGAAATGGTTTTACGGCTTCGGTTGGGGTGTTCCATCGGTAATTGTTTTGGTCCATAATCTCGTTCGAGTTTATTATAGCGGCGATGTTGGACGGTAAGTCGAAAAATTCCGCGTGTTTTTATCCAAAGTTTACCCAAAGTGTTGATTGATGACAGATTTAAGAATGCTGAATAGAATTACAAAAATTTATATAGAGCTGGAATCTTTTAGTAGTCAGACCTCTTAAGAAAAACTTCCGATGCCTTCTTTGGCCTTTCGCTTATGGTTTCACTTAGAAATCCCGTGTGGTTGTTTTGTAATTTCTCCTGAAAGCTCGTGTAACAAGCCCCCGCTCGTATAAGCTTTAAAGAGACGCCGAAAATCTGATAATAAAATCCTGGATGGCTCCCTTTCATAAACATACGACGAATTTAAAATGAAGAACTCTTGAAGTTTGGTAAGTTTCACAGAAAGTGGGCTGCTATTTAGAGGGCAAAGTTTTCCCATGAGCGAGAAGATAACATATTGATGATGCAAAATGGTCGAACTTTGAAGCCATTTGGATTTGAAATGTTTTAGTTTTGAATTAATAAAAGTATCTTTTGTTTGTTGCAGATGTTTTATGGAGGAAGTGACTTTCAGCACGTGGTTTATTATCGTGCCTATCACAATCACATTAGCGATATCAATGGGTGAGTAGACAAAGAAAATGAACGATTAACTAGCAACACAACGTGTGCTAAGAGAAACCTCAACCTCAATCCAGGCGCAAGCAAATAAATCAAGGCAACTTTTTAAACAAACTTCCCGAACTGTTTATAAATACTTTGTATGTCGGTAAAGAAGATTATTTTTAATCGCAGATTTCCCCATAACACAATTCCCCACTAAAAACAAACAGCGATATTTTTCGGTTATAAAAACATCGATACGCATTGGCCCTTTTCCGAACGGAAAAGGAATGGGGAAAATTCCAATTTAATATCCGCGGATCCATTTATTTGGTATCGGGCCTGAACTTTTTAATGTGGTGGTTTTTTCTTCACAACCCGGGAAGAACATATTTTATTTATATATTTATATCGAGCCAGCTTGAGGTTTCGAACCACAGAATAAACGCTCGCTCGCTCGCAATGTTTTCACCATGTATATATCCAATTTTATGAAAAGCAATGCTTTTTGCCTCTAACTTTATTAAAAGCCATTTGGATATAAGATTTGCAAAATTTAGTCCTCAAAACAAATTATTAGGCATACAAAAAACTCAAACCTTAGCTCTGTTGGTGGTGGAGACAAGCCGGTTCTCTAACCATTTATTATTTCATGTTGTTATTTAGCATCATTGATCCATTCTTCCTATAAATAAGCAAACTCCCGTTCTTTTCTTTTTCCCATTGAAAACTTTTTCACATTGAATTTTGTTTTTAATAACAGACTAGATTAAATTATATTTGATTTTAATTTGATATTAAATGCCGATTCTTCGTCCTCTTGAAGTTTGCCTAACAACGAAAAAACCTACTCTGGGATTGCTTTAAATTGGAATTGAAATTAAATTTGCTTCGGGATTATTTGCTTTTATTAAACGTCCTCAGTCGCTTTTTACCTTTGTTTAGGCTTTCATTTTAAGCTTATCAAACAGTAATTTGATGCTATTTCTTCTGCCATTATATGAACATTTACTTCACAAATTCACTGGCATCGTTGTGTTAGTAAACGATATTTTGCAGGTTTCTTGATCAATATCCTCAGGGTGATCCTGACAATTATGCACCCCAGTTCTCCAAATCCTGCTCCAGACAGCGTAAGAAAGGCGGTTAGAGCCGCTCTAATTTTGACGCCTCTATTTGGATTGCAATTTATCTTTATCCCGGTTAAACCAGATGCGCAACATCCACTTTACACGGTCCATCAGTACATCAGCATGGTTATTGGTTCGTATCAGGTAAGAAATATAATTTTTTTGTGGCCATTGCTTGAATGCGTCCTAGAAATACGTTTCTATTGCGTAAGCTTGAGCGAGAAAACCTCCTGAAGACGGAAGCAATTCTCGCCTTCAAAATGTCTGGATGAAAGTCGTTTCCCGGACGCCCCTAAAACCAAAAAAGCTCAACAAATTGCTCAAACATTTTTCATTTCACTTTCCATGGCTTTAGCAGGCTGAATGTAAAAAATAGTTTTTTAGGGTTTGTGCTGTGCAATCTTATATTGTTTCGCAAATCATGAAGTGCACCAAGCGATCAAGAGAAGCTTTCAACGGAAAATCAACTTTTACAACACCAGATCGACTGCGGATAGTGGAGCTGCTGGTGCCATGAATGGACACGTTCAGAATGGAAATGCGATCCCTTTGCTCTCTATGCATAGAAATTCGACGCCAAACACTCTCAAGGTATAAAAAGTAAGTGCAAACATTTGAAGTAAATGAGCTTTCCCGGTTATTTGAAATTTTTATTTCGGAATATTTCACTTTACTTACTTCTTGGCTTAATTGAATGCAATGTTTCAGATTTGAGACGAAAATCTGCTATTCCATTTTCTACTGAGCTTTGAAGTTGATCCAATCGCCACATTAAGATTCCTGAGTTGCAGATTCCAATCTAATGTTTAGATTCCGGTGCGAGTGCAGAAGAAAACCAGATTCAGTGCGGCTTAACTAAAAGCCAAGTGAAACAATGTTGCGAAATAAATATTTTTCATTTTTTGTAAGCGTGTGTTTCATTTTTATCCAAAACATGATACAAAATTCGATTATGGTCCTGCAAATTTATTATATAATAAACATTTCTCTGTTTTGCACTAGTCCTCAGCTAAAAAATTTCAAAGAATAAAAGAGACTTACATTTTAACCACATTTTCCTCCAAAATATGTACAAGGAAACGTTAAAATCGGTAAAATATACTCAACCACCAAGCAGACATTTAAACCAACCATTCATTGAAATCTCCGTCGACATCTCAATCAAGCTGAAGTAATTATATGATAATTAATGCCAATCCAGTATTGCGCATTGTTAATTTCAACATGAAAAATCATACAGTTGTACTTACACTTCCTTTCAAGAGAGAATTTGTATAATTAACAAATTACGTTCGTCCTGGCGTTCCCTAAATTGGAAAATCTATTTATGAATGAAGCTGGAAATAATCACTAAGTAGCCAAGCAAAAACTACTAAATAACCTGCTGAAATTAACTACTCGGTTATTATCTCAAAAGCCCATTCAATTGGCCATTTGCTGAATGATAAATATTAGGCAAAAAAATTATTTCAGATTTCAAGAACTGAAAAATATCAGCTAGTAATAAGCTGAAAAGGAATTATGGAACTAAAAAAATTTAGCAACACAAAAATAGATGGATTGTGAACGATGAAAAAAGCAAGTGGAAAACCGACGCCGTTCATTTAAAATAGCAAATCGTCCACTAAACTGCAATTACATGATTTTTTTAACATTTAAATGAGTGGGTTGGTCCAGTTAAGTATAAGGATTAAAACTTTTTCCAACGTGAAGTTTCCGGTATATATGACAGGATTCCAACCCACCGGCTATTGTTGCACACAGTTCCTGGTTGTTAATAGTCTTATTTTTTTAGTGAAAATGAAGACTGCTTTGAAAGTTTTCTTAGTGGCGCTCGCTATTCCAACTATCATGGTAAGTAGTAGAAGTCTACGCCCATAAGAATCGGTTCAATTTTGCCACAAAACATCACTTCTTCAGGGTATGTCGGATGAAATGCAAGAACTAGCCAATCAGTTGCATACCACATGCATTGGAGAAACTGGAGCAGCCGAAGGTAAAATAATCCCCGAATGAGAAAACGTTTATAATTGAAATCCCAATAATAGAAAATTGTATCTGGTTGTGGCAGGGCAGACCTTTTGCTGGCTGAATTTTCAGGAGACTGTCCTAAAAGTTAATTGAAATCTCCCGGCCATATGCCGAAAACGCAAAAAGCCCTTTATCTGATTAAATCTTTATGTCACGCTAAAAGATTATATTCGTTTTTGGGTTTCGGATTGATATTAAATTTATGCCTGAGGAACGCAGACGGTAATAAAAGCTTTTTGCTAGTAATTTCATTTACGACGCTTGTATCAATGTTTTAAATCGATTTTCCTTGAAAGGTCGTTAAATTAAAGTCTGTGAATATTTCGTGTTTTAGATGCTATTACAAACGCAAGAAATGGAGACTTTTCCGAAGCAGACAGTTTCAAATGCTACATAAAGTGTCTTCTGTCCCAAATGGCCATAGTAAGTCAATCGATCTTGAATGCAAATTATTTCTAGAAAACTTCCTGTTCATTTAGATTGACGACAATGATGGAACTATTGATGTGGATGCAATGGTGGCAGTTTTACCTGAAGAAATCCAAGAAGCCACTGAGCCAATTATTAGAAAGTGTGGAAGCATCAGTAAGGCTTAATTGCTTGTTTTATAGGACAGTTTAATTGTTGCTGATTTTTTTCTGCAGTTGGCGCAAATCCTTGCGACAGCGCCTGGCTTACTCATAAGTGCTACTATAAAGAAGGTCCAGAGGTACGCAAGTTATTTTTTAATTAATGAAGTTTAGATGCTGAATTTTACAAAAAATACATCACCTTTTTAGATTTTGACCTCTTGCGTATTTTGATTTATTTCAGCACTATTTCCTCATCTAAGCCAGCCAGCAGCCCGGACTTCCCATTACCGAATATCTACTTTCAGACCTTTCAGATCATGTAATTCGTTATTTAAAAATATAGAGTGCAATTTAAGTCTTCCAAATATAAATAATCCTTACATATATATAGTGTGTTTAATTATTTTAATGCTTCCAAGAACTAACGTCCTAAGAGAAAACAATGTAAGACAGAACGTAACAGAATTGTTTGACTATCTGTTTAAAGAAAATGATGAAATTGAACAACAATTCATAGAAGACCAAGAAGATGGCATCGATGCAGAATTGGCAACAATGCGATAGAATACATCCTCAAGCATCTTGAAAATAAAAAAAGGTCAGGAGCCGTCGAGATAACAAACCAAATGCAAAATACAGAGGAGACAAACTACAAAACGAAATATTAACTCTCTTGTTAAATATAATAAACGAAATATTGTCTCTTAACGAATAATTGTGCCATATCGGAATAGAAAGAATACTGGACAAGCTGAAATTACGGAATAACTGAAATTTGGAGAAAGATTAAAAATATTTTTCATGCTCAGATCAAATTGCAAACAGTTGATGGAAAAGCAAAGAGTAAAACGTTAATTATAAAACTCTTCACATTGTAACATTGTGGGAATTTTGGCAATAACAAGCACAACTTTAATAAAAAAATGCATTTTGTTTTCCTAAAAATATATTTAAAAACGGTTAAATCTTAGCCAATGTTTAACTCTCCTTCAGATTCAACTACTTTAGTCTGGTAAGTATGACATGAAGAGGAAAACTTTATCATTCGATGTAAAACTGAAACGCAACCCTTCACAATTTAATTCATGTTAAATTCGGGAAGATTTGGTGCTGCAATGTCATCTTTAATCTAAATTCTGAATATTTATTAGCCGTACTTGAATATGAAGGTTTTATAATAGAAAATAAGGCCTTAGAAGAAATGAAATTTTTACATATTTACGAGTAACTAGGCTAAGAAATCTAATTAGTATTAATTAAAAATTCTGGAAAATATTGCTGCATTTGCGTTGGAAATTTCGTCCCAAAATTCATGTTTACTGTCGTATTATAGGTGCCAAACGGATGCAATTAAAATTTAATCAATGCCCTCACTAGCTTGATTTAATATTATCAAACTCATTAGCAGCGAGCCTAATAATTGTCTTATACCGCAAGCTAGTAATTTAGTTAGAAAACTTCATTGTCTATCCCCCATATATATTCAGATAAATCATTGTCAGCCGTAAAGGCATCCAATGGCACTGACCACATGGGTTGTAGGCATAATGCTTATTCTGCCTGCCATCCGGGTAAGAATTGCTCATAATTAAAACGCTGATTTGAAAACAGAAGAACAATTACTACCGGCATTTTAGGCATTGTCGGACGAAATGAAAGAACTGGCCCAAATGCTTCATAACACGTGTGTAGCTGAAACAGGAGTAAATGAAGGTATTTTAATTAAACCACCGACAAATCACTCGCTAGCATTTGGAGACGTTTCCAAAAACGTCTGGAATTCCAGTTGCAGCACAACTAATGTCTTTCTGTTGGTGGCTTCAGCAATTTCAAAGTTGGTTTAGTTTTCTTATTTTAGATTTTATCCGGAAAGTGAATGCCGAGAAAATTTTTGCCGATGACGAAAACCTGAAATGCTACATAAAGTGTCTCATGGCCCAGATGGCTTGCGTAAGTAACAGTGTCAAATTTTACACATTAATTAATTGAACGTAAATAATGGAACTTTTTGCTGATAATTTCATTATGAACGTTCCGTTTTGCAATTCGTTATATTCAGAGTAAAAAACACCGACCTTATTATCCATGAAGTACGACTGTTGGTTCTACTTATTGGCTACTGTTGGCTAAGCAAATAAGTGACCACTTTACTACTCAGAGTTTTTGATAAATTTTCCGTTGAAAAATTGAGAATTTTTCTGGAAACAGCAGCACAAAGTAGTGATAATGCTAGCTGAAAAGCTGCAACACCAGTTGCTAGAAAAACCGCAGGTTGAGCAACACGGCCAATTGCAAAATGACAATAATAGAAAATCACCGTGTTATAAATTGGCCATAAAATTATTGTGCACTGTTTTCGAGCTGCATAGACGTCGACACGTTCGAATTTAACAGCTTTCTTTTATACAATTTGCAATCAATGCCATCTGAATGGGAAATGAAACATTTTGAGCCGGTACACGCTGTTATTTGCCTTTAGAATTTTTCAAGTCAGAAAGTTACTTTTAAATTTGTTAGTTCACTTTTCCAAAATGTCTTAAAAATTCTCAGATAGAACAGTTTTTAAGTTAACAGGTTGGTTCCAAAACCATTCTAAATCGATTAGCAGCATCTGACGCTTTATGTAGCCGAAATACCCGAAAATAAAAAAAATCTACATCTATTGCCCAGTTTAAAACATTCGAATTTTACACTTTGAGATTCGTGAAGAACGAATTAAATAATCATGATTCAGCCGATGTACTTTCTAAAACACAAATAACAATTAACTAACGTTTTCCACTTACTGGCGCATTTTAATGTTTAGATTGACGACGACGGAATAATAGATGAAGAAGCAACCATTGCAATTCTTCCGGAAGAATATCAGGCTTTGGCTGCTCCAGTTATTCGTGCTTGTGGCACCAAACGTGAGTATCAAGAGCTTTCTGTTCTTTGTTTTAAAAAACGAAAATAAGTTTACAAATAAAAACAGTAATTAAGCGCTCGGTTCAATTATATGAAATTATGCACGAAGTTGAAGTCTATGTATATTAAGTTTGACTTCTCGAGGTTGGGGAAATGTTTGAAAACTGTGCTCAATTACAGCAGCCAAGCATTTTCAGGTGAATAAACTAATGACCGCAGAAGTAAGCAGGAGCTTTCGAAAGTCTTTAAAATTAGCTGGGTGATTAAAAGTTGAACTACTTGCCGATATTCTGGATGCCTTCTAAACCTTTTTTTTGTATGTTGTATTCCTGTAGACGGAGCAAATCCCTGCGAAAATGCCTGGTTGAGTCATCGCTGCTATGCAGAAATGGAACCTAGCGTAAGTGGCTAAAAAAATTACATGCAAGGAATCAACTGCATAAACTCGACAGTTTTGTAATGAGCCCCAAAAAACGCAATATTTTAAAATTTGAATGATCATAATTTTTATAAGGTGTTAGTCTCGATTTTTTCGAAAAAGGGAGCCTCTCAAATTGCCTTAAATTTTATGTTATTTTCATCGCAAAGAAGCACGAAATGTTTTGAGCTCATTGAAAAACCTACTAGAAAGTTGAGATGGAAATATTCGATATTTTCTGTCCATTTCAAGCGCTTTTTGCGCGGTTTTGATCTTCAATCCAATACATCTTTTTTATTATAGACTTAAGCAGTCTAATATGCATATGGAGGCGCTTGGTGAGTCGAATAGTTTGCATTAGGCTCACAAAACACGCCTGTGACATTTTGAAGAACTTTCCAAAAAATGAGAAATGTTTAAAAATTCCTAGAACTCTCTAATATTTTGATCAGAAGTAAGCGAGAAATGTATCGACCTCATTCAAACACACGCGAGGAGCTTCAGATCAAAAATAATCGACATTTTTTTGTCCATGCTTTTTGAGCGGTCATGATCTTTAACCGGCAATTTGTTCCTTATTATGGACTCAAGCACTCTAATATGCATATAAAGACGCTTTGTAGGTCTAAGGAAAACTATGCATTAAATCTCTCACAATGCTTTAAATTCAATATTATTTTTACGGAAGAAGAGAGAAATGTATCGGGCTCATTGAAAAACACGGAAGAAAGTTAGATCCAGAATAATCGAAAATTTTGGTAAATTTTAAGCGTTTTTTAAGCGGTCACGATTTTTAACTGACAATTTTTACCTTAGATTCAAGTATTCATTTGAGATCACTGTGTAATTTTGAAAATTCCATTTATATACTCTTTGTTTTTCAAGTTTGTAATACATTATTTTCATTATTGCAGGCTTATATGTTAATTTGAGCAAAATTAAGGATGTTCGGTGCTTCTAGCTATTTAAGGATGCTCTGTTAAGACCACACGTACCAAAGTACATTTTATAAGTTACAAATATAATGCATTTTTATGGACAAGTTATTGTAATAAAGTCAAATAAAGATATTACTTGAAATATACCGAATTTTTAGTTGCACATTAACAGCTTACCTTAGTTGTCAGTAAATTCTTACTCACGTTTCCAGCTTTGGCAAGCATTTTTGAAAGTAAATGCATTCATTCTTAAAATCCACAACTCGCTGCAATAAATCTTTACCTTTCCAATTACTTTTTTACACCTTCATTTAGCTTGTAAGAACCCCAAACTTTGATAGTTCATGTGAGTATAAGCATATGTTTCCTTAGGTAAGTAATGACCAAATTCACTTCAATTAGAGATTTTCTGGTATTAAATATATATTATATATAAAAAATATTCAAACCTGCAACTCTTCTACAGGTTTTGCAAAAATTCAATATGGTGAACTATAAAAATTTGCTAAACATACCAGGCTGGCTTGCGAAGGTATCTAGGAAAAAACTAGAGTGGGCAGTGTACGTTTTTCAAATTATAAATTCTTTGATAAAAGCACGTGCAAATAATAAAACCGAGTTCAGCTTAATAAACTTTTAGTGGCGTATTTATAAACATCAAGCTGTGGTTGTTATAACAATTGGAAATTTGGTGTTTATGTGTGATTAGTGCAAAGTCCTCAAAAATTCACGTCCAGGTGATTATTTTCACTTCGCATTTAGGGACTAACCTATGGCAAAACGGACACTTCCAAGGGCAATATCAGGCTGCTATAAATAAAATATCAGCAATATTTTGGTTCTCTTTGGTTGGTTTGTTGAGTTTTTAATTGGTGTGGTGTTTGCAAAGGAATATGTTCAATGTGGATAGGAACAAAGGTAATTGTTGCAAAATGAGCCTACAAGAAACGGCTACTTCACTGAAACTAGCGAATTTCTCGGGCTTTTCTTCGTTTTATCAAGCAATCATAGAAACCCAGAACTTATTAGAAACCATCAAGTTGAGTCCGTTTTAGCGTGTTGTTTTCAACCCATAAACCAAGTCGGATCGTACGAATCAATTTATCGCGTTATAAATGGTACAAATCAAGGAAAATGTAAAAATGCCAGCAGATTTTAAGGGCAGTTGTTTGGACTAAGGTACCGCTCCCACATGCGGGAAAAAAATGTTGGAACAAATAAATCAAAATTATTCATACATGATAAAATGGTTTCATGTGAACAGAAATCTTTCCAAGCAAGAAAAGAAGATAAGACGAGAGGAAAGAGGCGATATTTCCGAAACCCGGATTTTTTGTTTCTGGCTCTCAGATAAAACCATTATTCTCCTGAAATTCCCAATATCTAGGAAAAAATGCGTTTCCAGCTGGTACAAACGTTTTCAGACTATGTTTCCATATGTTTCGTCAAAAACACGTGCTTTTTCCGCTAACATTTTTAATTCATTAAAATGCAAGTGCAAATGTTGAAAGTTGTACAAATAACGAAGTTCATGGCAAAATGTTGGCACTATTAAAAAACGATTGTTTCATTATCGCTGACGATTAAGTTCTCGGTAGGCTAAAGCAAGAAATAATGACTAATTTTATACAACCACCACGTCGTGTTACTCTTCGCGATTAACAGATAATCAACTGAATGGATCCAATCGTGTGAACATCAATAGAACCGGACAATCCGAACGCTACAAAACCGCCAAATCACACTTGGGACGTGCTAATTAAAATATTTGCGTTAAAAACTAATGATATTAGTTATACATCCGTGCGAATTGATTAAATATTTTCCATTAGAAAACACACAAACATATAGAAAGAGTTGTTCGGACCACGTTGACCTAAAGTTGGCAAAAACCTGTAAAAGTTTAGTAACCCAATTAAAATGGAAAAAATTGACCTAGTAATGTAAACGACGCCAAGATAAGTGCCACGACCACCTGGGTAAACGATTTTTGCCAATCTTTTATTACATTCTTAAAATCCATTACATTTCCCACCATTTCGGATGTGACAACATCAATTACCTAAGATCTATTGGTGCATAAGATTACAACAATAATTGAGTGTTTAATAATTTTTAGTGGTGTTTTACATGGTCCGCAAGTGAGACACTAATGACCGGTGCATATTCATTTAAAAAAGTGAATTTGTATTTTGTTACATACCTAATTTTTTTCTGCATTAGAAAGGCGTGTGCAGTTGTGCGTGGTTTGCGACTCAACATTCTGGATAGCTTTCTATAAAGCGGTAAGCTTAGGACTTAGTTGAAGTTGCTTCTTAAACTCATCACGAATCCCTGCTGGATTTCTTTAAAACTTTGCTGAATGATTTTTATCGCCACAAACTTTCATTAATTAAAGTCGCTCCATTCTATTTGAAGTATGGTAGTTTGATTGATTTTTCTCGATTAATGAACTATTAGTTGATTAAATTTAAACATGTGAAGCGGATATGGAGACGATGTTTATTTCTTCACTAGAAGCATAGAATAGTTGTCGATATAGTGGCGGTTTTAGAATGAAAAGATGTGCAATATTTTTGCAAAAAGTATGTATTTATACCGGGATGAGTTTAGGTTAAAAATTGAGAAGATTGCTGTATCAATCAAAACAAGAAAGGGTAATTTTGGAGAGTATTAAAAACCAGTTAAATAAAAACGGTTAGTTACTATTTTTTCATTTCAAAGCGGCGAAATAATTTTCCCTTTTCATTAGAATTAAGCAAGAAATTTGTCCTAAAGGGGAATTGGCAAGCAATCAATTGGCAAAATTTCAATTTTTGCTGTCAGTAAGAAAAGAAATAAGAAAACCGCACATATTACTGCACATTATACGAAGAATTACGCAAACAATCCACGTTATGCAAACCGTCGATTTTCCAGTAACACTTTGACTAAAACTTGAAGTCATGCAAAATTTCAAAATTAGTTTTAATAAGCAGCACATGCATTGAGAACTAAATGTTGCGGGATTGTCCCTATCTAGGATATGAGTTTCCGCAAAACATGCGCAAAGTTTCACATCGACAGATTGTTGGCTAGTTTTACACCTAAAGATTTTCAACTCCAATTATGTTCGTATTATTTAATCAAACTTTTTAGTTGCCATACGCGTTATTAAACGAGCTAAATAGAAGCGAATGTTACACGAAGAGTTTGATTTAAATGTTTCATTGACAAATTAAAAGTGAGTTTAATAAACCTCCGAAATTATACGGATCAGAGAGACTTCAGATATCCAACTTACTGCCGCTTTTACTGTTACCGCAAACTTGCAAAATGCATTAAAAACAGATTGACGAATATTCAATTAGCCAATTATTCTGCTCTGCAGTTATGTTTAGAAGAAGAGCAAATAACCTTCAGTCACTCTTTTCCTGAAATTAGTATCTAACTTCTGAGCTACTGTTTGAAGCTGAATTGATTTCTTTTGGACGAAATAAAAAGAACAACCAAATAAATCATTTTTTTAGGGCTTGAGTGCGAAAAAACAACACTTTTGTCTCCTCTTTTGATGATTTTGTTGAACCAAACTTCATTAATTTTCTGTTTGATTTTCGTCGAGCTTTTTTTGGCCAGAAATTGAACATTTCCTTAACTTAAATTTGTCTACTTTTAGCTCCAAATTCCTTTAAAGTCGTAGGCACTTTGAATTCGAGTCGAGAAAATTTGCTCTTGATCGCAATTGACTATCAATAAGTGTCAAAACAAATCCTCAAAAAGTGAGAAATGTGTTCTCAATTTTCTACATAGAAACAACTCTTCGACATAGTTTTCACATTTAGTCATTTGAAAATTGATTGCGCCAAGTAGAAACATGAAAACATTACACAACATGTAACTAAAAAGCTTCTGAAGTTATGCAACAGCTAAATCATTAGATACTGATTTGTAAATACAATTTTTTTGCCAGCTTCCAAGGTCATTATTAGCTGAAATGTTGCTAAAAATGTTAGAAATACTAATGAAAAAAAAACCGTGTAAAAATCATGCCGATTATTAAACTCTTACAATACACCTGAATGGATTTTTGGGACATCAAGGGTGAACGATTTGCATGTAATGGAGAACATGGCAAATAGCAGGGAACTTAAAGCTAGTGCAGTGCGTTGACTCAGTTTTTTATATCAATTGATTTAGAAACCCATAGATAAATGATCAAAAAAACACACAAATTTAAGTACCCGGAAGTCGAACTAACTGAAAAACGAATTGATGATTTTCCTTAGTTCCTGCATCATAATACCTAATTGAAATATGTAAAGTGGGTACCTACGAATCCAAGCGACTTTGTCCGTGAATCCTTCACACCAATTAATCATTTCCCGGATTATAAATATTAGTAAGCAATGATTAATGTGAACGGCATGGATTTGAATTCTATTGTAGTTTGTTAACCCAAAAGCCCAACGAATCAACCTATTGAAGAACATTGTCTTCAGAACTTACTGCACTATTGACATGTTCGATGATATTCGTCACGGTCCGTTACCAAAAAGAAATGATTTCTCGATATTCCCGAGATTTCACCTGAAACCGTAACATTCTTCTAAACGGTCATCTTGGCCATAAACCGCGAATAAAATACAAACATTCGAAAGAAAGCCAACTGAAATTAGTTGCCTGTATCGAATGGCGCAAACCTGCTAACCGAAATGTTTACTTCAGATATTGGACAATTTGTTACTTAAAAATCGCACGCTCGATTATAAAATTGGTAAATTCGTTGAAAACAGCTAAAGCTTTTAGGTTGGTCATGTTCAATTTGTCATTTTCCTCACAGATCGGAATTGCAACGCCCGAACATTACTAAACTTTATTTGTTTATTCAACTAATTTCATTCTATTTTCCATAGAGCAAACGTTCCCTGAAACTACTGACTTTTGATAATGATTTTTTCCAGTGTTTACGTCTTATTTCAGCTTTAAACAGATCATTTCAATTGACAGGCTCTAAAGTAGAATTTAAGGGTGTGATGGGTCTTGGGGTGCTTACTTTGGCCAATAAAATTTAATGAAATCCATTTTGCTAAGCAGCAGTCCTGTTTTTTTAACTACCAAGCGCCAGGTGTTTAAACTAAATGAATTTGAGGCGTTAAATCCAGCATTTTCATAAACAGCTAATTAATTGCTTATGTCAATCAATCGCTCATTAGAAGCCCGCAAAATAAAAACAATGTATGGATGGAACTTGCGGATAACTAGCTGCGATTAGGAACAAAGGCTTTATAGTATGCAACTAGCTTAGTTTTGGCTCGCTTTTGGAATAATGAGCATTTGCCGGTTTTTTCACATTCAGATAACCTTTTTCTAATTTTAGGCCGCAAGACGTAATATTTAGCAGTTAATGTTAATATGGATGATAGTGCTTCCGATGAGTTCAAGAATAAACCAGAGCATCCTAGGTCGAAAGCCAATTTTTTATCCAACCTATTTTTCTGGTAAGTTCTACATACACAAAAATACCAGCTCATATCAGAAAGATTGAAAATCTGCATCAAACCAAGTTGCGGTTAAAGCCTCTTTATGTAAAGGCACTCATCCCTTGCATGTTCATTTAGTTATTACGCCGTCGTCGCTAGGAATTTGGGGTTTTAGCCGAGGGAACAACTTTGAAGATGCTAGTTATCCGTGCTGGCGAAACGTCAGGACCGAATTCCCACCTACGACAGCTTGATAACGCAGAAACCATTAAGTGCACAATTAATTAATATGTATTTCTGTTAACGTTTCGCTTCCAACTACTGCAAGCATTCTCTAACGCACAATTGAATCTGAAGGTAACTTAAGAGCCCTAAACAATTTCGAAAATTGCACATTTCATGGCTCACTTTCGATTTGTTTTTCCAACTTTGCTTGTGACAAACTTCTAGCGGAACAAAAACTTGTTAATTTTGCTGCCTGTTAATGAACGACAAGCACTTTCGGGCCCATAGAGCCTAAACAAACAAAGTGAAATATTCCTGTTGTTCTAGTTGGGGCCTCCCAATATTTTACAAGGGCTGGATAAAAGATTACAACGAAGACGATTTATGCAAGCCACTGAGAGAGCACGAGTCGCATAAACTTGGAGACAAATTGGAAGAGGAATGGAAACTGGAACGATTGAATCATACAGAGCCGTTGCTCTTAAGAGCCCTGTGGAGGATGTTTCGGAAGGACATTCTGCTGTATGGACTCATTTTGTTCGTCCAGGAATTCGTTTTAGGGTATGCAATACTGATTAGATTGTTTTCAGTTGCTTCCAGCCAGTTGCTTAGATTCCAACAGACGGGCTTTTTATGACTACATCCATGTTAAGAATTCAGTATAAAATTGCATTTTAGACAGATTGTTGAGGAAAATTACTTTGATAAATTAAAATGTGCAGTGATTTAAGCCGTTTCCAACCAATCATTTTAGGCACTATTTTTTTCTCAGTTATTATTTTTAATAAGTTTATACTTTAATTTTAAACTGTTCTTTCCAGATTATCTCAACCTCTGGCCTTGGGCAAACTGATGAATTACTACTCGCCAAGTCACACCACAGTCACGTTGCAAGAAGCGTACTTTTACGCAGGAATTTTAATATTTACTTCCTTTCTTTCCGTTGTTGTTGCACACAGCTACATGCTGGCGTGCCATCATCTGGGCATGAAAATGCGGATCGCTTGTTGCTCACTTATATACAGGTTTGTATTTTTCTTTGGATCCCTAAGTTTACAGTTTTATTGGAAAATCCTTGCCCATTTATCAGCAGCGAACGGGAAGAATTGGCTCAGACACGAAGCTTGGGTTCGAAATCATATGCAGGACAGAATGCTCAAATGTTTGATAATTAATTGCCGCAAAAGTGGAGGAAATTAAGCAAAATCCTTTCTTTGGGATATGAATAGGAAGATTAATAAATCCTGCCTTCAGTCGAGCGTTTAAGTTTAAACTTTTCGACCAGAATGTTCTTGCCAAATTTTTCTTCGTTCGGATTGAACTTAATTCTGTTTCTTGACCTACATAAGAAGCTGCAAATGATGGCAAATAATTGAGTGTTTAATTGGGGAAAACACACAAAGGAATGAAAAACGAGCCTACAAAAGTGCAAAGGAGAAGCGATTAAATACAAGTTTGAATTCGCTAAAATTTTAAGTAAACCTCCTAAGGGCAATTTAATAACAGCGGTAGAATCAAATTCAAGACTGTTAAAGCAAAAATGACCATTAACTTCAATCCTTTAATATTGCCATAAAAATAGTCTATTTCACTTGTGGAACTCACCTTATAACCTGCACCCTTACAAGCTGTTTGTCTGGGCTCTTTTACAGCTTTTTCTCTATTGAAAGTAGTCTGCAATTTTTCAGTTTCCAATTGCAAATAAACGAACCTGCACGACACTGAATGCAATTTATTAACCACTTTAAATAATTCCAAGATCTAAATGAACACTTACCAGCCCCACTTTTGCTGATTAAAGTCTCCATTGAATTATGAACATTCCCAGCAAAATTTAGATTTAATTTAAGGCACCGGTAAAGTAAATTCGATGTTTACCCCATGACCATTTAGTGGAAGTTGTCATCAAACTTTCAACCCTGTATCACCACCTGTGTGGAATTAAAGGTTCTAAGTTTGACTAGTTAGGGAAAACTGACGGACCCAACTGTTGGAACTGTAAACCCTTTTGGGGCTGGGATTCCAATGAAATCAAATGAAAGTTATTTATTCTGGAGAAAATTAAAGTAATTACTATTTGAACAAAGATTCGTTAACTCTCATTCCATTAACTAGTTTATCGAAAGATTTTTGTCTATTTACCTTAAAAATGAACTCCCTTGCAGAAAAACTCTGAAACTGAGCAAAACTGCGCTAGTTGAAACAACCATTGGCCAGATGATCAACTTACTATCGAACGATGTGGCCAGATTCGATAACTGCATAAGATATTTACACTATCTTTGGATCGCACCGCTGGAAACAGTCCTCATCATGTACCTGCTCTATTACAATGTTGGGTTCACTTCGTTGTCTGGATTTCTGCTCATCGTCGTATTTATGCCTCTACAGAGTAAGTGCTCAGTTTTGCTCTTAGTGAGTTTTTCCGGCTGAACCTTTAAAATTTTAGTGATCTTGGGCAAATTGGCTTCAAAGTTCCGTCTAAGAACTGCAGTCAAAACCGATGAACGAGTGAGGAACATGAGCGAAATCATCTCCGGAGTTCAAGTGATCAAAATGTACAACTGGGAAAAATACTTCACAGGCCTCATAGGCATTATTAGAAAGTACGAGCATTTTATGCGTGAAAACTCAGTTGAAACTAAACATCCAATTACAGTTTAGAAATCAGGCAAATCCGGCTAGCGTCCTACATCCGAGCGCTGCACGTTTCATTCAGCAAGTTCATCACCAGAACCTCGATTTTCCTCTGCATCCTGGCCTACACCCTGACTGGTAACCGACCAAACGCAGAATTCGTCTACGTCGTTCAGTCCTTCTACAACATCATCAAAACCGCGATGACCAACAACTTTCCTCAAGCCGTCTCAGATGTGGCGGAAACTCTGGTCTCGATCAAGCGAATTGAAATGTTTCTGATGTTCCACGAGGTGAAAACCCCTCAAGTCAAGTACTCGCAGAAGAAAATCATCCACTCAACTCCTCTCCTAAATGCCGCCAGCAAAAAGTCTTCTGGTATTTACCTTTATGATGTGTCGGCCAAATGGAACAGTTTTATGCAGGAAAATACCTTGGCAGGCATTAATTTCAATGTGGGGCCTAAACAGTTGGTTGCAGTGGTCGGATCAGTTGGTTCTGGAAAGACTTCACTCCTACATGTGGTGATGAAGGAACTGGCCATGACCAAAGGAATTCGGGATATTGTAGGGAATATTTCCTACGCCTCCCAAGAACCGTGGCTGTTTGCCGGCACCATTAGGCAGAATATTCTCTTTGGGGAGACCTACGTTCGAAATCGCTATGATCAAGTAATAAGAGTATGCGCTTTGGAGAGAGATTTGGACATTTTACCTTATGGAGACAAGAGCATGATTGGCGACCGGGGCGTTACTCTAAGTGGAGGCCAAAGGGCCCGAATCAACCTGGCTCGAGCAGTATACAAAGAGGCAGACATCTACTTATTAGACGATCCTCTATCGGCAGTAGACACGCATGTGGGAAAGAAGCTGTTTGATGAATGCATATCAGGTACGTTGCCTTCGCAGCTACGCTCTTATTATTTCGAGCCAGTGGGAAATGTTCTTATCATTTTCGACACTGGAGTGCGCTTAATCCAATTACCCTTTTCTCATGACAGTCTGTTGGACTCATTAAATTCTTCCGCTGGAATTATTTGGCATTTGCTTGCGTTCGCTGCAATCGCCTGCGTTATTATTATGTTGCTCGTAAAAGCAAGTAAAAAGCAGACGGACTGGAAAGCAAATAAAAACGTTGTTTGCCATCGGTTAATTAAAAATGAACACAAATTGCAGGAGTCTCTGTTAAGGCCGGGTCACATCTATCCCATCCGATCTGAGAGCAAAATAGTACTGGACTTTCAACGCCGTAGTTCACATCTTTCCGCTACCTGCCCGATCCGTCTCCGTTTTTGAATCCGATCATGTTCCGATTTTGCTGGCTATTC